TGTTTTTGTGTCTATTTTTTGTGATATTGGTATCTCTTATAGACCTACACTATTTTTTTGCTTACAGATTATTCTTGGGGATTCTCATGAGATAAATATGTCGTCACTGAAAAAATATCTGAGTGGCTCACAAAAGAGAAAGTTAAAAGCAGCCAAAGCTGCACATCCGCAATCAGTTCCAAAGCTGACAACATTTTTTAAACCAAAAGGAGATTCAGAGCCAAGTACCAGTGACAGTAAACTCCCAGGGGACAACACAGTAGATGTTCACTTTCATGATTCAGATGACGAAGCGAGGTCAGCTGAGTCACAGTCACAGAGATTAAGTAAATCAGCACCTACAACAATGGAAGTACCACCTGTGACTGAAGCTTCATCCGATTCATCTCAGTTGACTTATAAGAAACATTCTGTGGAACAAGGTGTCAGTGTTGATTTGTGTGTATCAAGTGATCCAGCTGACTGGCTGACAACTGATGATAAACTGATTGAGTATTTACTAAACCATCCTCTTGATCTAAATTGTGAACAAGGTGACTTCTCAAGATCTGCAAGAAGTGAAAATGTGGGTGAAAAGGAAAGAGTTCGATATGTGCCCAAATCCTTGTTTACATGTCAAATGGCAAATGATGAAAAAGTTAAAAGGGAATGGCTTGTGTATTCTCCAAAAACTGGAGATGTATTTTGTGTTCCATGCAAGCTATTCAGCAAGCAAGTCTCATTGTTTACTAGTGGGTTTAGCAACTGGAAAAACTGCCAGCGTAGAGTTGCTGAACATGAAAGTAGCAAAGAGCATAAAATCTCAGTTACTACTTGGGGTGTGAGGACATTTACAGCAAGGCGAATTGATTCCACTTTGGCTTTGCAAGTAGAGTTGGAGAGAAAATACTGGAAAGAAGTTCTATTGCGCATAGTTGAAACACTAAAATTTTTAACATCAAGAGGTCTTCCTCTCAGAGGTAGCGATGAAAGAATAGGCTCTAGCAACAATGGGAATTACCTTGGAGTACTGGAACTCCTGGCAAAATTTGATCCTTTTCTTGCACAGCATTTGGAGAAGTATGGTGCTGTAGGTAGTGGAAAGACTTCATATCTCTCAAACGATTTGTGAGGAAATGGTCAATCTGATGGCTGAAGAAATTCACTCAATTATCATAAGTGAAGTGAAACAAGCCAAATATTATTCAGCTAGTGTAGATTCTACACCGGATGTTAGTCATACTGACCAACTTACATTCATAGTTCGTTATGTCACCTGGTATTCCATGCAACACATGTCTCCATGCGTGACGAATTGTAGCAATAGACAGCTGATCCCATGACTCCACCAAGAAGTCCACAGCTTTCTTGATGTTAAATACTCTCCAGAATTGTTTGAAGAGTATTTTTTGCTGTTCTAACTGTTGATCCTCATCTTCTTCGCTCTTGCTATCGGTGGTGGTGTCACTCAGGTTACGCAACTCTTCCCTGGTGTTGGTGTAGTCGTTCAGGAGCTGGAATTTTTTTGTTGAGAATGCAGCTTTCACATTGCAAATCAACTCCTGGTCCATGGGCTGGATTAAAGACGTAGTGTTGGGAGGAAGGAAGACCACTTTTACGTTGGGGTGACGATCTAACAGTAGGGGCGAGTGTCCTGGTGCGTTGTCCAGCAGCAACAAAATATTAAATGGGACATTCTGTCGCTCACAGAATTTCTTTACATCGGGAACAAAACAGTCATCAAACCAGGAGAGGGACAGTGTAGAGAACATCCATGCCTTACGTGCGGTCAGCCAGTGGACATTTAGCTTGGTCATGTCCATGCTCTTGTAGGCGTGCGGCTTGCGGGCTGTGTGGATCACCGATAACTTGAGCTTACAGGTACCGGAGGCATTGGTGGTAAACAGGACGGTGATGCGTTCCTTCTGCATTTTCCGGCCCCGAATCCTGCTGGCATTCTTCACAACGAAGGACTTGGAAGGTAGTTTTTTCCAGAAAAGACCAGATTCGTCCATGTTAAACACCTGGTCGTCACTGTACTGTCCTTCCTCCATAATCTCACGTAAAAACGGAGGAAATTCCCGAGCCGCAGCACGATCAGCACTCGCTTCTTCACCACCAATGTTTATATTGGTGATCTTGTTCCGGATCTTAAACCTCTGTAACCACCCAGAGGAAGCATTAAAGGGTTTGGGCTCTGAAGTTCCCATCTTTCGTGCCACTGCCATGTACAGTTCACGTGCGTAGTCCTTAACAGAGCGCGTGTCGACCGCCATGTTCCGTCGCGCCTGACGCACCAAGTACCTCACAAGTAATTTTTCTGTCTTGAGAAGCACCTGGTTGTGAAAATACTTGATCATAGAAGCACCTGTAGACTTTGTGATCTTCATGTGCTCCTTTATCTTGGCTGAATCCTTCTTTATAGTCCGGATCGTAGATTCGTTCACGCCATGCTGGCGCGCCAAATCAACCTGCCTTGTTCCTTTCTCCAACTCTTGGATGATGCTATACTTCACCTCGTAGCTTAAGGAACGTCGTGTCTTCTTTGGTTTAGTGCCGCTGGGTCCAGGTAAGGAAAGGTTTCTCTCTGGGGGTGGTGGTCCGGCGGAAGCCATTTTACGGAACAATGGATGCGCGTTTACACGGAGTGGCCTTGAGGGATGAAACTGCCGCGGCTAGGTCAAGCGTCGTCTTTCCTCCCTCCCTCCCTCCCCCGGGTGGACACGTCATAATACTTTAAGCCAATTACAGCTAGCAGCAGAGGGGGGTAGGGATGCATGGCCAATCACAGGTCTGATACGTCATATGACGTCAGTGATAACGCAACAAAGACACACACTGCGCAACCTTACCGCGCCGCTTGCCCAAGTGGAGGGAGGAGGAGGGAGAGGCAGGCAGGCAGGCGGGCGGGTGGCGGGTGGGGCGAATCTAAAAATAGCGTCGCGCCGGACACTCTCCGCGTAATGGGGTTCACGTACCGCGTAATGTGAGCACGTGAGGTTCTGGCAAGGCACCGCGTTAACGTGGAAACGCGGAATGCGGGACCGCGTAAAGTGAGGGTTAACTGTATTATGATTACTCTGAGTAAATATGTTATCTTTTGTGCAAAATATATGACATTTATATTCAGAATATTCCTGGTCTTACAAGGAATCCAGCAATGTCAATTATATTATCCTAACTTTAGTTTGAGGTATTATTTATTAAAATTTAGTGGTTTTCCCCCCAAAATTTGTCAGAGAGGGAAGAGCCAGCGAGTGTAGTGTGAGAAGAGGGGGAGGGAGTTGAATCCATTATTTGAATGGACATTAACTTGGCGACTGTATTTCTCTATTTCTCTTAAGTATTAATTGTGTGCATGTACCATCATAAAATTAAGATGTAATTTTTACTAGAACATAGGTATTGTGTCGGAAAAAGTAGAGTTTGGGGGTCCGGCCAGTCTCTATTGGAATTAATCCCATATGTTCTGTTGTTCACTTAACACGGTACCCTGTGGGTTCAATTGACCGCGTTAAGCCGTTAAGCGGGGTACTACTGTATATGATAAAACCCCTTAATGTACCATGAGAGAATAAGAATGATTAACTTTTATGTGTTAGTGATAACAACTTTTAATTAAGACAGGCAAATGATTTGTGTTAATATCCCTTATGATGGTTGTGTAATCTCATATATAGGCGCGTATGCCGTATAAGCAAAATAGCTATTTTTGAAATTGCTGGTGCTCACTCAAATATGCACGAATCTTCAAAAAATTGCACGTGGGTATTTCATATGTCAATATGCAACACCAAAATTTTGAAAAGCATTGTAGGACAAAGTTGGGGCAACTGTCACACCCTACCCTACTGTACTTGTCGGCCTACCCAAATAAGGTATTGGTGAGAGTGAAGTTGTATGAAGCATTTCTCCCTATGGTTCCCTGCCAAATGTCAGCATCTCTGCCAACTCTGGCATTGAAGTCACCAAGGACAACCTTATCTTCTCTGGGGATAGAGGTTAGCACTCTTTCGAGATCGGCGTAAAAGGCCTCCTTGATGTCATCCTCTGCATCAAGGGTTGGGGCGCATGCACTGATGAAAAAGGAATGACGTGAGGGATTCAGTGGGACTCGAAGCGTCACAAGGCGCTCGTTGATCCCAATAGGCATTTCAGTTAGCCTGTTTAGGATGCGTTGCGGATAGCAAAGCCAACTCCATAAATAAGGTTTCTCTCCACAGCAGACTTACTCTTCCAAAAAAAGGTATAGCCAGATCCCCGTTCAGTGAGTTGACCCTTGTCTGGGAGCCGGGACTCACTAATGGCTGCTATGTCGATATTATACCTAGCCAGCTCTTTTGCTACAAGGGCGGTTCTTCTTTCAAGACGCTCATTTGTGCCAGTATCCAGAAGGGACCTGACATTCCATGCAGCAACCAGAAGAAGTTGTATAGTTTGATTTTGTTTGGATCTGTGATTTTGATTGTGTTTTCGACCGCTTAAGGATGACCTTACTGGGTGCGGTTGCCCAGTCAGGTTGGTTTTTTAGGCAGGCTATGTTTAGGGCACCTTTTCTAGCCCCCTCCCCATGTGGGGCAAGCAGAGTGGATCCTCGAAAAGGCTGCTCAGTCGCACAGACAGGACCGGATTGCACTGCTGCCTGGATCCCAGAGCAAAAACAACCATCTTATTTGTGCCGCCCATGTGCAGAGTTGTGACTAGAACCTCCCAGTAGTCCTCTCTGCCTGTTCCTGTCGCCACTCGTCAGTCACCATTGGACTTTTGGGGGATATAGGGGTTTTGATGATGATGAATGGTATGATGAGCTGGATGATGGCTGCGCGTGAGATGATTTATGTGGTGAGGCACAAGCGCAGGCTGCAACCACACACTTGGCTTCCCCTTTTCCTAATCCAGTGGTGCAAGTGTTGCAATGACTGGGGAGAAGGAGAGTTGCAATGGAATGCTGAATGCACGAGCGTGCACGCACGCGCACACACACACAGATTAATGTAAATACATCAACAAGATCAACAAACCGACTGGTTGAACATGAGACGAGCTTGCTTTTCATCCCAGCCAAACCTCTTGGCAGCATAAGCAGTCTCCTTCTTCAGTTCTTGTACCAACTCGTCCATCTCTGGCTTCAAATTTTCAAGTTTTGCCATGACGTAATTCTGTCAGAAAACAAGAGGCCTTTGTATAAATTATAACAATAAGATTAAACCACAGTACACAGTTTCAAAGTTGGAAATATCTAATCAACATGAAATATTAATCCTTACTGCTTAAAATACAAAAATTATTAAAATAACCAAACTAATATTCCTCAATCATTATTTTAGGCAGGTTTTCCTAAAATACCTTAAGAGATAAACCTCCACTGGTGCTACTGTAGCATGTGGTCTACAAGATATTTAGGTCAGCTTAGGTTAGGTTGGTTTAGACTCGAGATATTTTTGTAGACCGCACACAATAGTAGCTCCCCTCCACTCACCTATATATGGACAGTTATATTCAAGAACACAGGTGAACTGATAAAAGTACAGTACCTGGTAAACAGCAATGGGGAAGGTAAGAGCTCCCCTCATCAACATGGTGGACAATATGACAGAAGCCCACCATGGTAGATGTGAGAGGTCATGAATACCTTGCAACCCTGTCATCAATCCCTCAACAAGCCTTGACTGTGCTAATGCCTGGAACCATCCAGCCTGAGTAATGGCTAAACTATCAAGCCAGGCCAGTGATAGATGCCTCTTGGTAACAGTAGTATTTAACTGATAACCACACACAGATGTTAAAAGAAGTTTCCTCTGATATTGTCTGTAATTATGACTTGTATTATTTAAGACACCATGATAACAACACAGCTGGCTAACTGATGGGCTGTATCTCTTTAATAACAACTGTGTCTTGCTGTTATATGCATAGAACTTTCTCTGCTGAACATTTATAAAGATGTTTATATTTCCTTTTATACCTCCATGACAACACCTGGGCAAGTGTTTACTATTAGAGTTGATTTTACAATAATACTGTCTTTTGCAGAGGGTATTGATGGAGGGCTGTAAAGACTTGTGCAGACATCCAGTAACCAGACCATGTATGTGATGAGCCATTGTCCCACTCCTTCACCTGATCCTGAAAGAAAAATACGTCTTTAAACTTTTTTTTCTCAGACAGTTTAGCACCAACATCTACCAAGACTCACAGAGTTGTGTATAACTGGTGTCCATTATTTATAATTTTTCCTCCCTCATACAGAGAAACATTCGTATAATGGACCTTGATCTAATGGTTATTGTCAGTTTGATGGAGGTTTGATATTTAACAGAACCTCAATCTAATGAATTTCCTTTTCAATAAAGTCCGTTAAATGGAGGTTTCATTATTTAACGGAACCTCGATCTAATGGATTTCCTTCTCTATAAAGTCCAGAAAAAAGTAGTCCTGTACAGCACTAATTAGTAATCCTCTAACTACTGTACTGTGTCCTAGGTTCAGTTCCTGACTTGGTACAGATGTGGGAAGAGTGTTATACAGGTTTACTCCATGCTGTACTCCAGTTTCCCCCTGTACTAACAATGGACAATAAAGGCCATAACAAAGTAACAGAGAACAAACAGATTGCCCGAATGACTACTAAACTAATACTGTAAATGATAATCCAACAATGTCATAAAACACTGAAGCATTCTGGTTACAGTAGTTGGTTTTTAATAAGAGTTTCCCTCACTGGCTAAGACTCACACTTTATTTTATCAGCCAGTATTTAAGGCACACAGAACTTAAGTAGGACAAGCATCATACTGTAAATGAAAAACAGAGAAAAATGCAGTTAAAGTTTGTGGCAAACCTTCAAATTATCATAACTCTGGAACCAGTGATGATATTGATGTGATTCAAGTGTCAAATTGTAGCATTGTTAGTGAATATTGAATTAATACTATTGAGAGACACCATAATGTATTATTCTAAGGACATAACAGTGCTTGTCCGACTACAGTTCAGTGCTCCTCATTTTCACTTTCCTTCAGTAACCTGACAAAAGCACCAGGTTATTGAAGATTGTTAAACTATATGATACAGTGAAGAAAATAAATAAAAATAAAATAAAATTAGGTACAGTATACTGTTCAGGCATTCTGGGTGCAGCTTGGAGACCAGAATACTGCTCAATATTATAATGTGTACAGTATTCAGTTTAACATGACTATTAATACTGTTTGGAATAATGTGTACATACAATATACTGTACAGTCACTCAAAAAACTATCTATCTTTATAAAATTTTATTACACAATATGATGCAACAGATGATGGATTTTGACATCACCTGCCGAGACAACAGGCATCACAGAGTTCATTTTGATATTCATCTACCCCCCAGTAAATATAGTCTTTGAGTGACTGTACACACAACAAGGGATCAACTAAAACTCTCTATACAGTGCTGTGTATATTGTGAATATATAAAAAAAGACTGGGTAATGACATAAAAGGCAGTGGCCTTCCGCTAAACAAGTTTTAAGGCCGCTACCCTACACATTAATAGCACCATGAATATCTAGTACATAAGAACATAAGAACATAAGAATGGAGGAAACTGCAGCGGGCCTATTGGCCCATACTGGGCAGTCCCGTTTACACCCAACCCCTAATGCTCATATAAGCATCCAACCTATGTTTGAAGCTATTCAACGTATTCGAGTTAATGATGATATTTGGTAACTTGTTCCATTCATCCACTACTCTGTTTCCAAACCAGTGTTTACCTATTTCACGCCTAAATCGAATTTGTCTAATTTAAAACCATTGTTACGAGTTCGCTCCTGGTTGGATAGTTTGAGTACCTTTGTAATGTCCCCTTTGTTTAGCCCTGCCTTCCACTTATACACCTCTATCAGGTCGCCCCTCGCTCTACGTCTCTCGAGGGAGTGCAAATTAAGATGCTCTAACCTGTCTCTATACTCAAGGTTCCTAATGCCCGGGATAAGTCTTGTCATTCTCCTCTGAATTCTTTCCAAGGATTCTATATCCGTTCTGTAATATGGTGACCAGAACTGAACTGCGTAATCCAGGTGTGGTCTCACAAGAGCAAGATACAGTTTTAGGATGACCTCGCTAGTCTTGTAACTAACACTCCTTTGTATGAACCCAAGTACTTTATTAGCCTTGTTACGAGCAAAAACACATTGTTTACTTGGCTTAAGGTTCCTACTTATCATTACTCCTAAATCTCTCTCGCAATCAGATTTCTCTATGGCATCGTTGTTCATCTGGCATCTGCTTTCCCTGTTTACATCTCCTATACTGAGTACTTTACATTTGTCCACGTTGAATTTCATCTGCCATTTTTCAGACCGTTCGAAAAATTTGTTTAGATCTTCTTGTAGTTTTGCGGAGTCCTCGTCAGATTTAATTACACGTCCTATTTTAGTGTCATCAGCAAATTTGCTTATGTTGCTGTCTATGCCGATGTCTATGTCGTTTATGGTCCAAGTACTGAGCCTTGGGGAACTCCACTTGTGACGTTGCTCCAATGGGACTTAGTGCCATTAATGCTCACTCGCTGTTTCCTGTCCTGTAACCACGCCCTAATCCGTTTAAGGATATTACCTTTGATGCCATGTGCTTCTACCTTTCTAATTAGTCTTTCGTGGGGGACTCTGTCAAAGGCTTTGCTAAAGTCGAGATATACCACATCATAATTGTGCCCCTCGTCCACCAATTCAAAAACTGATGAAAAGAATGTTAATAGATTAGTTAGACATGAAGGGTCCGCTTGTGAAGCCATGCTGGGAATCATTGATCAATCGGTGCTTCTCCAGGTGATTTCGAATAGAGTTTGAAATGATTGCTTCCAGTAATTTGCCTACTATTGATGTTAGACTCATTGGGCAGTAGTTAGAGGATAGTGATCTATCCCCCTTCTTGAAAATCGGTATTACATTCGCTATCCTCCAGGATTCTGGTACTACACCTGTTTTAAAGGACATGTTAAACAACTTTGCTAAGGGCATACTAAGCTCTTCCTTACATTCCTTTAATACTCTGGCAAATATCTCATCGGGACCAGGTGACTTATTAGGCTTTAGTTTGTCTATTTGCTTACTAACATCGTTACTAGTCACTACTATCTCGCTTAATTTGTTTTCTTCACTATCTCTGAATAGAGTCGGTGCCTCGGGTATCATGTTTAAATTTTCGGTGGTGAAAACTGTTGAAAAATATTTATTCAAATTATTGCTCATTTCTCTGTCGTTATCAGTGAGCTCGCCGGTATCTGACCGTATTGGTCCAATCTTTTCTCGTGTTTTAGTTTGATACATTTGGTAGAATCCTTTGGGGTTTGTCTTCGCCTCCTTTGCTATCCTTACCTCATTATTCCTCTTGGCCTTCCTTATCTCGGTTTTAACCCTACTCGCCAATACCTTATAATAATCCCGGAGGTAAATTTTGCCACGATTTATCCTTCTACCTATAGCCTTCCTTTGGCCAATGATGTTCTTTAAATAATTATTTATCCATTTAGGGTCATTGTTGTCTGATCTGAGTTTTTTGTATGGTATGTTCTGCCTTTGTGCATTAAGTAACTCATTATTTAAATTGTCGTGGAACTTGACAATCTCAGATCTTGTTATCAGGTCGGTGTCATCGGTCAGGTTCACCGCCAAGCGCGACACCCCCTCTCTCAGCTGCCTCTTTAAACTGTCAAAGTTTGCCCTTCTGAAATCTGGTACTTTAGTGGAATTTTCCTTACGTCTGCCCTGAAAATCTAACTGGAATCTAATTTCTTTGTGATCGCTGTTTGCAAGTTCGTTCCCTACCTCGACATTGCTAATGAGGTTTTATCTGTTTGACAGAACTAAATCGAGTATATTGTTACCCCAGGTGGGTTCGGTTATATGTTGACTTACGAAACAGTCCTGGATCGTTTCAAGAAAATCCTCTGATTCTGAGTTACCCGTAAGGTCAATCCAAACTATTTGGCTGAAGTTAAAGTCGCCTACTATACAGACTTTGCTGTGTATGGAAGCCCTGCGCATTTCATCCCAGATAAGTCGCTCTTTGACTCTATCAAGATTGGGAGGTCTATATATTACTCCTGTAATTAATTTTTCCCTACCGTCGATTAATTCTATCCAAATTGTTTCTGTATTCTGCTCAGTTTTTATTTCCGTATTTATTTCACACTTCAGATTATCCCTAACATAGATTGCTACTCCGCCTCCTTTCCTGGTCTGCCTATCGGTATGGAACAATTTGTAACCCGCAATTTGGTATTCGACCGGTAACTCATGTGAGTCTACTTTAGTACAGGATGGTCCTGCAATTAACTCAAAAAGGGGAAATATTCATCCATTGGCTGTTCTCAGGTTTTGGTTTGAGAATATATATTTTTTTATTTTTGGCATTTTACTCAAACCTGACCTTCATTTCTTGTGCAAATTAGCGGTTTTTGCAAAATATTAACATTTTCATTTTTAACAGAAACAGAAAATTTGCACAAAAATAGAGGTCAGATTAGAGTAAAACACACACAAAAAAAACCCACACAAAAGAAAATCTATTCTCATACCAAAAGAACCAACCTACCTAACCTAACTTACAAGGAGGAGGAGGAAAGGAGGATACAACTGACTTAAAGTGGGGAGGATACAACTGACTTTAAAGTGAGAAGTATAACTTCAAGTAAACATGGAGGGAGCCTGTGGACAGCCAATGGACGAATATCAACTACCTTTTGAGTTAACTGCAGGACCGTCCTGCACAAAGGCTAGGCCCAAATATTAACCATGACAGAAAATAAATAACATTATCTAACATAAACCAACACAATGATGGTTAAAGCGTAAATTTATAATAGAACACCGGTCTTTTTCTCGCTGTTAATAGGTTTTTTTTTTTTTTACACGGAAAAAAGGGGTAGGTTAAGTTAGGTTACATTTCTTTCAGTATTAGAAATATGGGTGAATTTACAGTAAAGCACTGGTCTTTCTCTCCCTGTTATTAATATGTATTTCGTAATGTTTAGACATTTCTAAGACACTTTTCTTCTACGATATTTCCTCCGGAAATTAAGGATAACAGAGATATTAATTTTCCAATATTATTATATTTGGTCAGTCACAAGTGTC